CTTGTAGGAATTTGTGGACATCCTGCAGCTGGAGGGAGCCTATGAAGGGCCATTCATTTGCTTCTCCCTCTAATCCTCTGGTTATGGCGTGCACCATAGCTCTATGCGATGGGTAGAGGTGTCCATAATGATCTAAATGGACTCCCGCAGAGTCAAGGAATAGAGCTAGCTGATCTGGGTCCCCATCAAATTTCCCCCTGAATCTGGGTGGCTTGTTCAACACTGCCACTCCCTCGTCTTGTTGGATCCCATCTGCCTACGTTTGATGTGCTTGGCAGTTTCCATCAACTTTAGTTTGTGGAGGGGAGTTTGTGGCGTGGGGGAGCCAGAGGCGGCAGCCTCGGGCTCAGTTTCCTTCTGCCAGGTTGAGAGGGGGGCTGCCTTCTCATCTGCTTCCCCTTTTCTAGGGGGTTAGGTGCACCTGGGCACCCCGGGGTTGCTCTGTGGTTAGTTCCAACTTAAACTTAGGGCTGGCTAATTGGAGCTCAGCAAGTTGGATTTGGCTTCTCTTCCCTTCTGGAAGTTTGGTTGCACTCTCCCCTATCTCCTTCCCCCTTTCTTTTGGGCAACACAACTGCCCCTCGTTGCGAAAGGTGGCTTGGTGGAATTCCTCCCTCAATTTCTCCAAGGATTCACCTAGAGTCCCAAGTAGGGATTTTGGGGTTCTGATCTCATCCCTTCATCCACTCCAGTCTTCTAGTTTGCTTATAGGTTGTCCCAAACAACAGGAGTTGGATGGGGGAATTCGGTCTCGGCTGCTTTGGGATTTTTTTCCCCACCAATACTCATCTCTTTCTGCTTTGGTCACTGAGGCAGGCATCCCGAGCACCTCGGTTTCCATGGTCAAAGATGGCTGCACTTGGGTTCCAATTGGGCTGCTGGTTCCTGTAGTTCCCTGGATGGGAGTAGGATCTGCCTCCTTCTGGGTTGCCAGAAGCAGGATTTCTTTCGAGATTCCGTCCTCCACCATGGTGGCCCGAGTTTCTCTCCATGCACCCCAGGTATCAGAGAGCAAGAGGAGAGTCGGGGCTCAGGAATCCTGGTCATTTTTGGTTGATGTCAGGGTTCCGACCAAGCCATTTAGCAAGAAAAATCCAGTTTTTTATTCAGAGCGCCATGTCTGCATGACCTAGGTGAAGCCAGCTGTCAACCCAATTCATGCCTTGCCTCTGACCCTGTTTCCCACTCTCCCCCCAGAGTGTGTCACCAGTCACATTCCCCAATGAAGCAATTTCCCGGGTCATAGAAGTCACTCTCTCCAGCTACTGTGGATCTCTGTGGAGATGGCCTTGAATTCGGCTGGCTAGGCTGTGTCTTGTTTTGACTGTGAATTCTTTGGTGGAGCTGTGAGGTGCGATTTCCATCCCCCTACCTATGGCAACTCGGGAGCAGGTCAGGGAAGCTTCACAAGTTGAACTACTTAAATTCCAGACACACATACATTACACTCTGAGTTCCAATGGTGAACATGGTGAACATGGCAAACTCTTATTAAATTCTGAAGTCTCTGTCCAGACAGAGCACAGCAAGAAAGATGAATCAAAAATGATGAATCTATTTAAACAGAGCCAATCAAGGAAGCTTAAGATGACCGGAGATAACAGTGATCAATTTTATATCCTCCATTAGGAAAATAAAACACACAGACAAACTTGAAAATAAAATACTTTGTTAAATGTTCCAATAAAGTAGCTCAGATTACTGTAAAGAAAAAGGGATTGGGTTGGTAATTTGTGATTCACTACTTAGAGCAGGGGTGTCAAACTAAAGCCCATAGACTAGATCCAGCCCATAATGTGCTTAGATCTGGCCCACAGAGCCACCCTGGAAACAGCAAAAGACCGGCCAGCAGTACCTCAGTCCAGCCCAGGCCAACTAAGCACTAAACTACAACATGGTGGCAGCCATCTGAGCTGAAAGCGGTCAGCCTTAGATCCACAGGGCCGTTCCGAGCCAGCAAAGGGCCACCTCTGTTCTGCCCCTGCCCCATAGGCACGCACACAGGAGGCAGTGTGTCTGCAGGGCCGGCATCCCTGGAGAGCATCTTGCCCCACAGGCTGACTGTGTTCTGAATGCTTCCCTTTCATCCAGGATGCCAACATTTTCCACCTTCTGTGCACACGCCCAGGGGGGTGGGAGCAAAACAGCAGGCTGGTCTCTTGCTGGCTCCAGGGCAGCTGCGTAGGCCAGATCAAAGGCTAACTGTGTTCAGGCCTGGATGGCTATCACAAGTTGTAGATCTTTGCCCAGTCGGCCTGGGCGGTCTCATGCCAAATTGGCATGAGACCACCCAAGGAACCAAAACTGGCCTCAACCGCGGTCATTAAGTGCTCCAGGTGTGGCCAACAAGGCCACTGAGTGTCTGAGTGGTTAGCCCGGCACCCATCTTCCCAGTCCAAATCCCAGCTGAGCCCAAGGCAAAGAGAACCCAGCACAAGCCCGCACACAAGGGGAGATTCGTCCAGCAAGATGTGGAGGTTCCCCCTTCCTCTGCAAAAGGGGGAGAACCTCCGGCTCCGGAAGCCCCACCAGCCACGAGTGACAGAAGTGAGGCCAATGAACACAACCCGATAGTAAGTGAGGCCATCTTCCCCTTTGCTATAAAATCACAGATAGTGATGCCCAGGATGGGAGCCCAAGGAGACATAGAGGCCATCCTAGACACCGGGTACACCAGATGCCTAATCATCCCCCCCACTATTCAGAAGCTAGGGATAGGCACGATGCCCCTGGCACGTCCCATACGCTTCAAGCAAGTCAACGGGACTTTGGCAGAGCCCCAGCTACCCTAGTCATCAAGCCAGTGAGGCTGGAATGGGCCGTCACTGCACCCCTTTGGGGTGAATTTGGTTTCTTTTATGAAAATGTTTGCCACAGTACAGCCCCCATATAAGGTACTGTTTATTGGTATGAGATATGATATATTTTGGGAATTGTTGTGTTTGTTGTAAAAGAGCCCTCCCTCTCTTCCCCCTCCCTCTACCCATAAAGCTGTGGTCAAAATTAAAGTTAAATATTTGTCCAGAAAATGCTTCCTAGACAGTTATAAAGAAAGCCATGGAATCACACAGTTGGACGAAACTATAGAAATAATTTAGTCCACCCCATCCTCCTTCAGTACAGACTGTTTCTGGAAAAAGATCATCCAGCTTCTGTTTGAAGCCATTCATTGAAGGAGAACCAATCATTCAAATGACAGCCTCTTCTACTAGCAAACAGTACAATCAGGAATCTAATTCTTAGTACTTTTAACCTATTAGTTCTGGTGTTGCCCTCTGGAGCAAAAGAGAGTAAGTCTATTCCTTTTCTAATTATAACAATTCAGATATTTGAAGACTTTCCATGCTTCTTACTCGTTTTCTGGAGATTGAACATGCTCAGTTCTTTTAATAAGTACCAGAAATTATGGATACAATTGCAAATACCTAGCTTTTATTTAAAAATAAGGAAAACTTTTCTGACAGTAAAATCTATACACCAGTGAAAAATTCAACCAATGGAGATTATTGGTTTCCTATCTATGGAGATCTTTAAGGGGAAAATTAAATGTATCTCTTAAGGATGGTTTAATTATTTTCTCTGCACTTTGTAGAAGTTTGGATGAACGAGATGATCTTTGTAGGTTTTTTCCCCCAATTTCATGATTCTATCAACTGTTTCTTATAGGGCGTTGTTTCTTAGACAATCTGACCATTTTGGTAGCACTTTTCTTAAGTTGCTTCTAGTTGTCATTGTCACTTTTTGCACAATATCCAGTATTCCAAGTAGAATTCAATGAGGGCAGAGTAGAGTGGAGCAATTGCTTCCCATAATATGGACTCTGTGGTCCTGCTCATGCACGCAATATTGATTGCTTTATTAGTAGATATATCACACTACTAGCTCATATTTAACTTGTGGTTGACCAGGACATCCAGATCCTTTCCACAAGAACAATTGCCAAACGAAGTGTTTGTGGTTTTCAGGCTTCCCGTCCTAGAGGATAATTTTACATTTCTCTTAAGATCTACTCTTTTAATTTAACCCATTGCTCAAACCTATGGAGCACTTTTTACATCTTTTATCTCTCTCTGTCTCTCTCTCTCTTTTTAAAGTAATAGCCAGCTTCCCCTCCCCCAAACACTGGGCAGTCTGCAGACTTTATCAGCACCCCTTGGTTCCCTGATTCAAGGGAGTTGAGCCCTATGGCACTCTGCTTAATATTTCACTCCAATCTGAAGCCTTTGATGAGGACTATTTGGATGTGATTATTCAAGCCAATTTTGAGTTCAAAATTGAATAATGTCAGGAAGATTCTCCTTAGTTTAGGTTGCTCTTCTCCTTGTTCAGTTTCCATCCATTGCTTCTTGTTTTGCCTTCTGCTGCTTTGGAAAATACATTGCCCCCCCCCTTCTTTGTGGCATCCTCTCAAAAGTCTGTTTTGTAACCTGCCTATCAAACTCTTGGGCAAAGCATGTGAGCCATTTCCTCCTTTCAGTGGTCCATGAAAGTACATCTATGGCAGGTAGATGCAGATAATAAAGTCAAAAGAAGGTGAACATTTTTACAGAACTATACATATGTTGAGGCATTTAAGGTGAATAGCCAGAAAGCGAGGCAAGGCCAGGTGTGACAAGGAGTGGCTGGGAGGGGAGGGGTGAGGTGGGTCCAGGTGTGGCGAGAAGAGGCTGGGCGTGGCGAGGCACCCCTCGATGTGAGTGATGGCGAGTTGGCCACGCTCACCCTCACACATGACCACCCAGACATGCCTATCCAGCCGATCATTAGGGCAGAGAACCAGTTGTTAAATTATTTGAATCCCACCACTGGTACCTTGTATAAATAAAATGTCCCCAAGAGGAAAAATAAATTGCAAAAAGCATGCCTTTATGGGAAAGCTTGTCAAGTAGAATCTACCAAAGTATACAAGATCTGGATTCCTAGATTAAGTGAGCTTTATATTTATAGATTCCCAAATCAAATGAACAACTGGAAAGCAGGTAACATTACATTTTCTGTACCTAACAGTTTCCTGCTGTCCAATTTCTGTCTGTTCAGCGGGTTGGTACCATAAATCAGTGTGTGTGCTTCTGAATGCACAGTCTGTAATTCTTCTAGAGTTGCTTTTCTTCCACGGATACACTACAGGAGAAAAGGAAGTAGTGAAATTCCATTTCCCTTGATGAAAAAGCAGCATCCCAAATAGAAAATATAAATAAAGGTGTACACAAATGCGACTGACCAAAGAGATTACTTCAAAAATGCACTGACTTCACAAGGCTTCTCTATTTTAATTCTGAAATTTTGAACAATTGTATGCTAAACAATTTTAGGATTCTTGCTGTTTCAGAGACAGAAAAACAAGAATAACCATTTTTTGCTCTAGGAACCTCATGGAGTGAGGTGGACATTCTTTGACTTAGAGGCAGAAATGTTTATGCCAATTGTATTATCTGAAATAAATTGCACCAAGAGTACATCGGGAAAGAAAAGAGGTGGCATTGTATAACACTTTATTGCAACTAAGAGAAAATGGAGTTTAACTTTTATGAAATATTGTTTTATATGGTTATCATATAAAATACACAATTCAGAATTTCACCAGTGTAACATTAGGTTTGTTTCAACCCAGACATATAAGATAGGAGTGAAATAGCACTGACATTAGAATTGAACTTACCTGAACATGTGTCCAGTGGCACTATCTTTGGTGCCTTGTTAAACTTCTTGATTTTTAACAAAAATGTTTGATAAAAACAGTCAAAGTCAAACCATGAATGTTAGTTGGCCCACTTTTAATCAATCAAGATTGATTAAATAAAATCAATAAGGAAGATCCCAGTAGGAAGAAAACCTTAAAGGTGTAGTAACCACCTGGAACTTCTTGAAAGGGGAAGTGAAATCATAGTGCAGGGCTGACATAAATGGCGTCTTCCAAATATATACAAAGCTGCAAAATTATCACCCTCTCAAGCACCCTGTCCCAAATAAACTACCCAGTAACTGGACAATAGTTGACAATAGTTGACAAACTCCTCCGGATCCAGGGAAGACACCTCCCCCCACCACAAGCCTCCCCCAGCTGGTTCTAATGAGCCAAATTAGGGAGGGGTCAAGGGAGCGTATCATAGGATAGACAACCATAAGCATCTTGTCTATATATTCAGGCCTCATAAACTGAAAGTGATTTTATCTAATTGAACCACAACACCTACTGAGTAACTCAGCAAATATTATTATATCAATAGAAGTCTTAAAATTGGCATGAAACTAACTTGTCTAATGCTTGACGTGCATTTCCTCATTGTCAACAAATTCACTGGCTGTGACTTCTGAAAAACTGCATTTTCAAAAGGCAGAAATTCAATAATTGAATTATTGAGATATAAGACCAATTCAACTATGGAACTAGTAATTGAGAGAGGTATGGGTTTTCTTTTTACTGCTTGTATTCCTATGGAGGGTGAGATGAATCAATTGGCACAGATGCTTTAATCTGGATTCCTATATGCATGAGTAGGAGTTGGCAACCTGTGCCTTACCACCAGTATCATCCATGGTCCCAAAAGAAATATATTCACCTAGTCCGTACAAGGCAGAGTGCTCATTGCCGCCTCATTTTGTCAATGACTTAATCAGCCATCTGGGTGTGGGAAGAGCAATAAGTTTCCCAGAAAAGTGGCAGTATAGCTTCTGCACCATATGTTGAAGAAGGTTGCCAACCCCTAGCCTAAATGATCTATTTCAAGTCTAGGATTTGACTCACAGAATAAAAGATTAAAAGTATACCTGGAATAACAGAAAACATGTCTTCTCTTTTCTTTGATAATTTACATGTAAAACAATTACAGTCGGCAGTGATGTACCCTGTTTCTCCAACAATACGGCCTCCCCCAATAGGAAGTCCCAGCATGTTTTATAGGCATGAAATGAAATTAAGCCCCTCCCCACAAATTAAGGCCTATATTAAAACATGTGAAATGGGGGGGAATGGTGGGGGGGGGGGCTTGCTGTTAGGAAGTACTTTTGTTGCACACCCGGATATGGTGCTGCCTGCGTTGACCCCGATAAGAAGTGCCCCACCAACGCCGAGGTCAACATCCAAGCCGTCGCCGCCTGCCCACCCGAAGATGCAAGGGGGGGAATTAAGTCACCCCCGAAAAGACAGCCTAGCCATTTTTTCGGGGCTCAAAAAAAATAAGACCCGGCCTTATTATATGAGAAACACGGTAGTTCAGAAATTTCTGCTGTAATATCTAGAGATTAAGCTACCAAAGCCACTTTCCCTCCATTCTATTAGTTCATCTATTACCTCACACTTGCTACGAAGACCTGTTTCCTGAAGCCGTGACCAAATGCTTTGGATTCTCCCTGCATGTTCTGGATGACTGTTTGTGTTTCCACAAACGCACTGGTGTTTCAGCATCAAGGTGTCATATACAAGGCCTGCATCAAAGGATATGAATTAATTCAGGCTACAATCTTACTCCTATTGACAAGGTGAACAAATTCTCCAATGACCTTATTTCTCTATAAAGTTGCAAGAGGATATGTTATTTATACATTATATATGCATATGGAAAATGATAATTTGAAATAGCAAATTTCAAAATAAAAATGTAAACACAGTTTTACTAACAGTGCTAAGTGAAAATTTAGAGTAAATTTATTTTATTTAAACAAGAAAGTAGCAATACCAATACTATTTATTGGTATTACTTTATATTTCATACTTATATACTGCTTCATGGTGCTTTATAACCCTTTCTAAGTGGTTTACAGAGCATATTGCACACAACAATCTGGGTTGTCATTTTACCGACCTTGGAAGGATGGAAAGCTGAATCAACCTCGAGAGAATTAGAATTGAACTGCTGGCAGTAAGCAGAATTAGTCAGCTGCATTCTAATTACTGCACCACCATAGCTCTTACAATGTTAATAGAAAATAGGGCACATACATTATTATTGTTGAAGATATACAAAATATTGTTGAGATATAAATATGGCTGAGATATAATTGTTAAATCATGATTTAGCATGATAAAAACGCCACTTGTTTTCCCCTTCTTTTTTTTGCCAAGAGCAGAAAATATATCTGGATAGTGCTGCATTTTCTCTGAAGGAACAGGTACATCATTTGGTATATTTCTTTATTTATTAAATTTAGAAACTGCCCATTTCCCACATATAGTGATTTCGAGTGGTAAACAAATATAAGAACATAACAGCTGTATATAAATACTAGGAGAAATATGTTGGATTGTTGTGCCCATTTGCTTGAGGTGGAGAGTAGGTAGATCCATTTTTATTTGGAGAACTATCCTGATGGCACATGAAGCAAGCATTTCCGAAACAACAAAGCTATTTTCTTTAGCTCTATATTATACAAACATTTTACATTTCTTAAATTTAGAAATGTAAGTTTTTGAAATTTGAGGAGCAAAACACTCATTTTCCAGATCTATTTCACAGGCCTTTTGTATTCTAGAATTTGCTTACTATTGCTGTTACTTTAAAAAAAAAGAAGAGTTTAAAACTGGAAAAGTGTCTTAATTTTTTACACAGTGATACAAGGCAAGCTACTACAATCATGTGAAAAAGAAAGTAAACCCTCCTTGAATTCTATTGTTTTATGTATAAGAACATACTAAAATCATCTGGTCCTTAGCAGGTCTTAAAAGCAGGTAAATACAATATCAGACATGACATATTACACCATATCATCCTTTATTTTACAAAAAGAAATAAAAAATCAAACTGTAACAAATACACCTTTACTGCTTTCATAGGCATGAAGAGGTTAAATAGCAGCTATGTGCTGTTAATCAAATGCTCTTGATCAATTGATCATTAGCAAGTGTGACTACCTCTATAAAAGTCAACCTTTTTGCTGAACTCCAGCACGGAGTGTGTCTTAACACAATGCCAAAGAGGAAAGACATCAGCAATTATCTTAGAGAAGCAATTGTTGCTGTCAATTGATCTGGGAAGGATTATAAGGATAAATATTTTTTTTTAAATGGAAAGATAGACACATAACTAAGGCAGAACATCAACAAATAGCCTGAATCTGCAAAGATGGAATCAGACAAGTTAAGGCTCAGAGTGAAGTGAGATTTGCAACTAATGAAAAAAATAACAAAAAAAGTTTCTTTCAACATGTAAAAAACAAGAAAAAAGGGGAAAAATCCATCCCTCAATGGGAGAAAATGATGGGCAGCAGACAGAAAACAGAGGTGCTGAATTAATTCTTTGCATATGTCTTCACACAAAAAGAAAAAAAAAGTTCAACCTAGCAAAAAAAAAAGAACCATAAGAGACAAACTAGAATGCAAATTAAAATAGGCAAGAAAATGGTAAGAGAACACTTGTCCACCCTAGATGAGTTCAAATCATCAGGATCAGATGCATTACATCCCAGAGTTTTGAAGAAGCTGGCAGACGTGATCTCGGAACCATTGAACCATATATTTCAAAGATCCTGGTGCACAGGGAAACTACAAGAGAACTGGAAAAGAGTTGACGTGGTTCCCATCTTCAAAAAAGCAGGGGGAAAGATCCAGGAAATTACAGACCGATCAGCCTGACATCAGAACCTGGGATGATCCTGGAAAAGATAATCAAGCAACAGATATGCAAACACCTAGAAACAAGCAAAGTTATAACCAGAAGCCAATACAGGTTTGTCAAAAACAGATCATGCCAAACAAATCTTATTTCAATTTTTGACAAAGTGACTAAATTAGCGGACCAGCAAAAAGCAGCGGATATAGGATTAGATTTCAGTAAAGCATTCAACAAAGTGCACCACAACATACTTCGCAGTAAATTAGAAAAATGTGGGCTAGACAATACCACCACTAGATGGACTTATAACTGGCTGACAAACCGTACTCAATGTGTAGTCCTTAATGGTACTACATCTGCATGGAGGAAAGTAAGTAGAGAGATACCCCAGGGTTCTATCTTGGGCTCAGTAACGTTCAATATCTTCATAAACAATTTTGATAAGGAATAGAAAGGGGAACTCATCAAATTTGCAGATGACACCAAGCTGGCAAGAATAGCGAACACCCCAGAAGATAGGCTCAAGCTCCAGAAGGATCCCAACACATTTAACACTGGGTCCTATCTACAGGTAACAAAATGAAATTCAATGTTGAAAAAAGTAAGATTGTACACTTAGGCAAGAAAAACCTTTGTGCAGGTATAGAATAGGTGGAATCTGGCTCAACAGCAGCAACTGCAAGAAGGATCTAGGAATCCTAATAGACAACCACTTAAATATAAGGCAGCAGTGTGCTGCATCCTGTTTTGGTCGCCACAACATAAAAAAGATGGTGAGACTCTGGAAAGAGTGCAGAGAAGAGGAGCAAAATGATTAGAGGCCTGGAGGCTAAAACATATCAAGCATGGTTGCCGGAATTTAGGTTTGAAACTAGTGAAAAGAAGGACTGGGGTGACAGTAGTGTTCCAATATTTGAGGGACTGCCACAAAGGAAGAGGGGTTCAACCTATTTTCCAAAGTACCAGAAGACAAGACAAAAAACAATGTTGCTCCTGTGCCTCTGCTTTCTTCAGTTCGGATGCAGCTGGGGCACCCAAGCTGTTGGCGGTGATGGTGGAAGCCACCTGAGCAATAATGATCCTCCCTCTCCAGCCAGCCTCACCTGACCTATTTCCTGCCTGGCTGGCCATTGATGCAAAGCCTCACTGCTCTTGTCCTCCTCCTCTTCATCCTCCCCACTCAAGCAGCGTCTGGCTCTGCAGGAAAATGGGCTCTCTCATTTCTCCCCTGGTGTGGCGAGCTCCGGTGTGTTGTACACGGGTGTAAGGGGCCTGGCCCCGTGGTGCCTCCTCACTCAGTTGAAGGTTTCATTCTTGCCCAAGCAGTAAAGCCAGTACATGCAAGTGAGCAGCGCACTCGGGCCAGAGACCGCATTGTTTCCTGTGCATAATTGATTCCCATTCCATGGCTGCCTTACTGTTTGAAGGCAGGAACAAAGCCTTCAACTGAGCACCATGGGGTCAGGCCTCTGACAGCTGCATCCAGCCCACCAGAGCTCACCCCGCCAGGGAAGAAATGAGAGATCCCATTGCCTCCAGAGCCCGCTGCTGCTTGAGAGGGGAGGATGAGAACGAGAAGAGTGATGAGGCTTTGCAACGGCAGGCCAGCCAGTTAGGGAGTAGGTCAGGCGATGCTGGCTGGCTGGGGAGGAGGGACCATGGCTTGTTAGGGATAACATTGTTTACCCTAACTGGTTTGGGTAAAAATAATAAATAAGTTATCATGGTTTGTTGGTTAAAGTGTGTGTAACTTTAACTACAAGAATGTAATTAAGGGTGTGGTTGTAAAAGCACCATAAAAGAAGCAAGTCAATTGCAGCTCTCTCTCTCTGGCTTAATGATCCCTAATTACTGGATGGATTGATGACTGCGTTTTTCCTTACTGGAACGGAGAAGAGAAAGGAATGTTGATTTCTCAACGGGGAGAAAAGATAATATGGACTGATTTATTGTAAGTGAACTGACATTGGCTATTCAACACGGACTTTGCAAATTGAGTATCCTCGACTGGACTGACTGAAATGATACATGACTAATGGACCGTTTATTTTGACTATGCTATAATTCCTAATGGAATAAACTATATTTTTGATAGCACAAGCGTATCTGTACTTTTTACTGCGTGTTAACTAAAATACAAACTTATCTCACACATTTACCTGTCTGCCTATCTGACTACGCTACACATTCTGTTTAGTTTGTTTTCCTTAACACTCGTTGGGGAATTCAGGCTTAACACTGGTTATGGGCCCAGAGACTGCAAAGTCAGTTTAACTAGGATAAAAAACAGGTTTATGTAAAAAGTGAGATTTTGTGTTGTTACACGTTACAGTAAACAGACAGCTGTGTTTTTATTAATTATAGTTTTATATCCATATATTGAAACATGGCACAAGTCAGTCTACAAAGTTTGTCCCTTATATCCAAGCTGGATGGAACAAACTATGTTTCATGGTCTATGAAATGTAGTCTACTTCTACGAAGAGAAGGTCTGTGGAACATAATTGAAAACCCACCAAACGTAGAGGAATGGGATCCTGAAAAAGAGGAAGATAGTCAAAAGATAGAAGACTTTAAACAGAAAAATGAACAAGTTCTTTGCATCATAGGACTAACACTATCTGATCAGCAACTTGTTCATATACGCGGAGAGCAAACAGCTATTGGGTGTTGGCAAAAACTGAAGAGGATTTATGTCCGAGATAACGTTGGTGCTCACATAAATCTAACACGGAAGCTTTTCCGGATGCATCTCCAAAATAATGGTGATATGCTGAGTGATTTGAATACTATGAAAAGCATTTTTCAAGAACTGCACGAGAAGGAGCTTATTTTCTCTGAACTACACCAGGTCTACATAATTATATCTTCATTAGA